TTTATTGTATTTTACTGTCTTTTTACTGCCATGTGCTTAATGGAGTTTTGCATCTGTCCTTGGAGATAATTGGATTACTTCCCAATTATCTCTAGGATAGAGAGGAGGGATTGTGGTGGCATTGTGGGAGTGTTTATCTGTGTTGTATGTTTTGATTGGATGTTCCACAAAACCCTGTGGGTGGGACTTTGTCTGTAAAATAAACCAACAGCTCTGGCTGATCCTGCTTGACCCACAACATGGAGCCTTGTCTCGTTCTTGGGGGGAATTTATTGTATGCTGTTCCAGTTCGACTGCTAGGAGTGTAAACCTTTCGTATGTTTTTTTTCTATTCTGCTGTTTACAGCATTCATATGTTTGAGAGCATTCGTATGCTTCTCCGGTTTGGTGGATTGGTGCCTACAGTAGCTGCCTGTATATCTGGAAGGGAATATCTCCTAAACGCCTGTTAACCCCTTTTATGCCTGGGGGTGCCATTACACGCACAAACTGCTACAAGTAGCTCCAGTATCCACCAAGAATGGCAGTGACACGCCATCAATTACTAGGACACTAAATGGCTAATCGTTACTAGTAGGAGATAAGAGAGGAAAAGCTGGAGTGTTACCTTCAGGGCAGCCCTATTGTGGCCATATGATATGATGAGTGGGGTGTGGAGGTGTCAGCGGTGTGTGAGATATTGGGTTGATGGCGGTGGTATTCTGGGGAGCAGGTAATGTAGCATTCTGGTTACCATACTGGGGGTTTGGGCACTCATTTCTCCAATGCCCACTTTGGCCACAATTGAAACAATGTAACCTGTCCAAACCTCCAGGGCCTCCTGGTCGCCCCCCTCCTCTCTGATACCTCTGTCCTCCCCATTGGGCCCCAAATCCCCTGCCTCTTCCTCTACCTCTTTGTCCTCCTCTCAGGTATATCCTATGTTCTCCGTCCCAACCTCTATTTCTAGCCTGAGAGGGGTTGCAATCCTTGATTAAAGTACACCTTATTGCTACCTTCTTTCTTTATATCAAAACATCCTGCATTGTCTTTTTCCACAATTTTAACATAGAAATCCTTACTAGACAATCCTGGCCATTCTGAAATCAATTGTTTGACAAGCAGAGAATATGGTGGCAACATGTTTCCCAAACAAGTTTGAATTTTTAATGGATCCATATCCTTGCCTGATTTCAAACCAGCATCCTCTTTCCAACATTTGTAAAATCTCTTGACAAACTCTGACACTTTCTTTCTGACCTTGTTTACATGCCAAAGCTGTTGACATAGACTGTTTATCCTTCCATAGCCTAGACATTTCTGCTGTTATCTCTTCCCACATTTTATCTTGCCCCTCTTGTGTGGACAATACATAGCGCTCCTCACTACCTATGGTAGTGCTAGAGTCCAATGTAGACACCGAGGGAACCTTAGACCAATCCCATCCTGAATCTGGATCATAACCCAATATACCATCAATAATTTTATATCTATCTGCGTCATGTTCTGCCCTTGACACATTCTTTTTAAATACATTAAACATGCAGCAGGGTTAGAACGTGGGTTGGGTGCACCTTGAATTATGTCCTTTATAACAATAGGATTCAAGGGTTTAATATTAGTTGGTCTCCTACTGTTAAAAATGGGAAGGCGGAGGGACCTATTGTCTCATCTGTGTTACCACTTTTTATAGAGGTAGTTTTGATTTGTTTAACACTTTTTAATATCATGTCTGGTGTGTTAGTGACAGTAATTTTAATAGGGAGAGCTTTAAGCAAAGAATGAGTACTACAGCTGGTTCCTGAGGCTTGCCCTGATGCCTGTTCTTCATCTCCCTCTTCAGAAATATCTTCTTCTTCTGCTGTTTTACGATGCCTTATGCCAGTATTAATAGCTGCTAACAAAACTTCGTCATCCTCTGGGGCTATAGGCAAAGAGGGATATATGGAGGTATACGGGGGCGGCAAAGGTGTCTCTTGGGGAACAGTTTTTACTTTTAAGCCTTTATCCTTTTTCTCATTGCTCTTATGTTGTACTGAATCAGAGTTCCCTAAATCAAGGTTATCTGGAGCTTTTTCTGTGGAACTAGCTACTTTCTTCTCCTTAACCCTAAGCTTCCTGCCTTTATTAGTTGTTGGGTACCAGTGGGGGGCCACTTGCAACTAGTTTTCTCTTCCCAATTTCATATCGGGGTCTGGACAATACCAGGGCCATGCCCTTTTATCCCCTAAACATAATCCCTTAACCATATTCATGTGGAAGTCATAGTTTGTTCCACAATGGGGGAATGGGTCGGAGGATCTCATAGCTTCAGTCCATCCTGCTAAATTAGTGACAAATGGGATAGTTAAAAATCCTCCTGAGGCTGCTACTGCTGTAACATAATTTAAACACGACTCCCCAGGTTGTGGTTGAGGGTAAGAAACAGATTGGGAATTTCCCAAATCCACACCGTAGCTCAACGACAATAAACCTGATACTTACCAAGACAGTTCCTTGCCTATTGCAAAACAAATAGTTCTTTACAATACAATACGACATGCAAGACATACAGAAGGCGGAGGAGGACCTGATAAGCAACCTAGGTTTAAATACATTTTCCCATATGGTCTACCGCAGACCTAGCCTACCACAGGCACAATATATATATATATATATATATATATATATAACTCAAAAAGGAAACTAAGAAGGGTAACTACCACAGATGTTTCCCCGTAACATAACATTTTAGTACTAAGTTATTGTTTGCTTAACGGAAAATCGCAAAACAATTCTGGGCATTTGAGCCAAATGCTGAATAACAATGGTTAGAGGAAAGAGTTAATTTAATAGTTCATTAGTATATGTCTGTGACAAAAATAAAGTCAGCTTGGATACAGACAATGTGTCGGGTTTAACCCTTCAATTGGGTTGCACCAACCTTATTTGATAACAACACTCTGCACTCGAGCACTCGGTCACCTTGACTGCTTTCCTTCCTGCACTCCCAGTGCTCCAAGCCAGCCTTGACTGCTTTCCTAACTGCACTCCCGGTGCTCCAAGCCAGCCTTAACTGCTTTCCTAACTGCACTCCCGGTGCTCCATCCAGCCTTGACTGCTTCCTGCTGCACTCCCAGTGCTCCAAGCCAGCCTTGACTCTCTCACAGGAGAGAACAGCGTCTCTCCTACCTGCTTCCAGGGAGGAAGCCAGCAATCCCCCTTTACCTGCCTAGCAGGAAGGGGTTTATTCCCAGTGCTGCAGCTGATTATCTGCAGCTGAGCAGTGGGTTTGAGACAGTTTAAAACTCTGGCCTGCAACTTATTTCTCCTAGTAATATGTAAACTGTGGAGTGCAGCATTGGCCCACACTACTCTCCAAATGATACACCCCAGGGCCCATAACTAAACTCTAGTTTGTGTTGCATACAACACCTACAACTCACACTCCCCCTGGGGCTAAATATTATGGGCCTCTCTGCCTTCACTTTATCACATACTGTAAACACGGAAATAGAGCTCCGTTTAGCTCAATGAGAACTCCAAATATGGTCACATGTCCCACTGGCTAAATTCTAGTGTAACCGACAGTTTAAGGTTATGAAAAGTTTAAGGGTCACATGTTCAGTAGATCTATCTAACAGATTGCTTGACCACAGTAATGAAACTTCATGTGTCTTACTACGGACACTTCCTTAAAATAACCCTTCTCTTACCTAGTCTACATTTAAATCTAGCTTCCTCTTCTAGAGCTGATCACACATCTCCCCCCTCCTGGTAACGGCTAACGGGACACTTGCAAAATATCCTTTCCTGTTACAGTCCAAGAAACAGTCTTCTCTAGCAGGTTACATATGTTCAGAGTATAGATATTCGTTATTATTATACGGAGCGACATGTTTATTATCAGTGTATAGATACTCAGTATTATTATACAGAGTGACATGTTTATTATTAGTGTATAAGTACTCGGTATTATTATACAGAGCGACATGTTTATTATCAGTGTATAGATACTCAGTATTATTATACAGAGCGACATGTTTATTATCAGTGTATAGATACTCAATATTATTATACAGTGCGACATGTTTATTATCAGTGTATAGATACTCGGTATTATTATACAGAGCGACATGTTTATTATCAGTGTATAGATACTCGGTATTATTATACAGAGCGACATGTTTATTATCAGTGTATAGATACTCGGTATTATTATACAGAGCGACATGTTTATTATCAGTGTATAGATACTCGGTATTATTATACAGAGCGACATGTTTATTATCAGTGTATAGATACTCAGTATTATTATACAGAGCGACATGTTTATTATCAGCGTATAGATACTCGGTATCATTATACAGAGCGACTTGTTTACTATCAGCGTATAGATACACAGTATTATTATACTGATCGACATGTTTATTATCGGCGTATAGATACTCAGTATTATTATACAGAGCAGCATGTTTATTATCAGCGTACAGACACTCAGTATTATTATACAGAGTGACATGTTTATTATCAGCGTATAGATACTCAGTATTATTATACAGAGCAACATGTTTATTATCAGCGTATAGATACTCAGTATTATTATACAGAGCGACATGTTTATTATCGGAGTACAGATACTCAGTATTATTATACACCGACATGTTTATTATCAGCGTATAGATACTGAGTATTATTATACAGAGCGACATGTTTATTATCAGCGTATAGATACTCAGTATTATTATACAGAGCGACATGTTTATTATCAGCGTATAGACACTCAGTATTATTATACAGAGCGACATGTTTATTATCAGCGTATAGATGCTCAGTATTATTATACAGAGCGACATGTTTATTATCAGTGTATAGATACTCAGTATTATTATACAGAGCGACATGTTTATTATCAGCGTATAGATACTCAGTATTATTATACAGACTAGTGACTACATTATTACGTGGATACTGTGGTGTATACCAGCAGTTCCCTCTAGGGGAGCTTTGCACAATGCACAGTTTGTCCCTAACCAGCTCCTGTAGGAAGTGTGCAAGGCATGCTGGGATGGATACACCCCCTAGATTTGCTCTCTTCCCAGTGTGTGTATGGAGTTCGGCCATGTTGGGTGTATGTTACAGCAGGAATGTGTATATCAACAAAGGGATCGAACATAATATGTGACTTGTGATCAATAAATCCTGGCTGATTAATAGACGGTATGTTATTGTAAGGCAGCTATCATCAAACATAACAGGTACTGGGCATCATTATACAGAGCGACATGTTTATTATCAGCGTATAGATACTCAGTATTATTATACAGAGCGACATGTTTATTATCAGCGTATAGATACTCAGTATTATTATACAGAGCGACATGTTTATTATCAGCGTATAGATACTCGGTATCATTATACAGAGCGACATGTTTATTATCAGTGTATAGATACTCGGTATCATTATACAGAGCGACATGTTTATTATCAGCGTATAGATACTCAGTATTATTATACAGAGCGACCTGTTTATTATCAGCGTATAGATACTGTATCATTATACAGAGCGACATGTTTATTATCAGTGTATAGATACTCATATCATTATACAGAGCCATGTTTATTATCAGCGTATAGATACTCAGTATTATTATACAGAGCGACATGTTTATTATCAGCGTATAGATACTCAGTATTATTATACAGAGCGACATGTTTATTATCAGTGTATAGATACTGTATTATTATACAGAGCGACATGTTTATTATCAGCGTATAGATACTCGGTATTATTATACAGAGCGACATGTTTATTATCAGCGTATAGATACTCAGTATTATTATACAGAGTGACATGTTTATTATCAGCGTATAGATACTCGGTATTATTATACAGTGCAACATGTTTATTATCAGTGTATAGATACTCAATATTATTATACAGAGCGACATGTTTATTATCAGTGTATAGATACTCGGTATTATTATACAGAGCGACATGTTTATTATCAATGTATAGATACTCAGTATCATTATACAGAGGGACATGTTTATTATCAGCGTATAGATACTCGGTATTATTATACAGAGCGACATGTTTATTATCAGTGTATAGATACTCAGTATTATTATACAGAGCGACATGTTTATTATCAGTGTATAGATACTCGGTATTATTATACAGAGCGACATGTTTATTATCAATGTATAGATACTCAGTATCATTATACAGAGGGACATGTTTATTATCAGCGTATAGATACTCAGTATTATTATACAGAGCGACATGTTTATTATCAGTGTATAGATACTCAGTATTATTATACAGAGTGACATGTTTATTATCAGCGTATAGATACTCGGTATTATTATACAGAGCGACATGTTTATTATCAGCGTATAGATACTCGTTATTATTATACAGAGCGACATGTTTATTATCAGTGTATAGATACTCAGGATTATTATACAGAGCGACATGTTTATTATCAGTGTATAGATACTCAGTATTATTATACAGAGTGACATATTTATTATCAGCCTATAGAAAGCAGTATTATTATACAGAGCGACATGTTTATTATCAGCGTATAGATACTCGGTATTATTATACAGAGCGACATGTTTATTATCAGCGTATAGATACTCGGTATTATTATACAGAGCGACAAGTTTATTATCAGTGTATAGATACTCACTATTATTATACAGAGCGACATATTTATTATCAGTGTATAGATACTTAGTATTATTATACAGAGTGATATGTTTATTATCAGTGTATAGAAAGCAGTATTATACAGAGCGACATGTTTATTATCAGCGTATAGATACTCAGTATTATTATACAGAGCAACATGTTTATTATCAGCGTATAGATACTGAGTATTATTATACAGAGTGACATGTTTATTATCAATGTATAGAAAGCAGCATTATTATACAGAGCGACATGTTTATTATGAGCGTATAGATACTCGGTATTATTATACAGAGCGTCATGTTTATTATCAGTGTATAGATACTCAGTATTATTATACAGAGCGACATGTTTATTATCAGCATATAGATTCTCAGTATTATTATACAGAGCAGAAAAACTAAAAAACAAGCAATAGAAGGCGCTAAAAGTGCTTAATATTGAATAAATATAAAGATAATAAAGGTAGAGCAGCACCTAAAAGTGTACAAGCTCATAAAACACCATACATAAGATACAAATAAAATAGGTGCGCTGTACCTTTAAATATTTAAAAGTGCAAATAGTGCATAAATTAGTGCGAAAAAACAAGGAGTGTGTGCACAGTATAACCACACTCAGTGTAACATATATGCAAAATTGCAAGTGAAGTAGTGAAAGACCAATATCCGATTAATAACTTACAGAAAAAATGTATATCTCCTTTGGTGCTCCAAATCAAATGAGAACATATGTAAAGGGAGATATAAAATGGAGAAACATAGCATAATACAGTTTAAAAATAAGTATAAGAACCAACAGTATAAAATAGGAATATCACTCACAAAGGGAGAGCAGTAAAAGCCTGCTCTAACTGATCCAGCTTGTAGTCCTCAAACCAGGACTTCATTGATGGTACAAGTAGGCAGGATGCCAGCTCTCAATGAAAACAGCCTTTATTAAAAGTTAAAATTCTTAGTCCCCGTTTCCATTTAGAAGTCTAGTAACCTTTTGTCAGTGCTGTATTACAAATATCTACCAGTCCTTGGTAATTTTCGGCACTGCAGGTTTCACTTCCTGGAACTCGGGGTTCCGTCCGGTCACGTGATGGCGTGATGACGTAATCGATGTGATTTATTCTTACTACACTAACATCCTACACATTTTCCACATGAATAAAAACCTTTTCTGTTTATGTTTAAAAATATTTCGGGCGCCTCTTTTCTTGGATGAGTAAAAGTTAAGATTTGTTTTAAACTAGGCGCACCCCTAAAAGTAATAAAAGGTTTATCCGGAATAATTGTCAATAATTCTTTATCCTTTTTTTAAAAGGTGCCAGTGTCTCTTAATAATTGAATTAACTTTCTTAGAATCCTGATTAAAATCTAAAACCAAAGGTACCTTATCAAATTTATTTTGTTCATCATTATAGTTACTTTGTTTAAAAACTAATTCATTTTGATCAAATTCTTTAATTTCATCATAAGCTCTATTTAGTATGTTAGTGGGATATTGTTTTTGAGAGAATTTATCGATCACTATTTTTGCTTGTTCTTCAAAAACATGTTGTTCAGTGCAGTTCCTTCTTACCCTTTGTAATTGACCTTTTGGAATGTTATTCAGCCATGGGGTGTAGTGCCCACTGTTATATAAAACATAACTGTTGGCATCCTCTTTTTTAAAAAAGTTTTTTGTTTTTAAAATACCCGCATCTTCATAAATTTCTAAATCTAAAAAAAATAATATTATGGCTAATAAAAGAACTGCTAAAATTTAAGCCCCACTCATTTAGATTAATACTTTCTAAAAAAAACTCTAGATCCAATTGTGTGCCTTTCCGTATAAAAATATATCATCTATATATCTATGATAAGAGACCAGGTTCGTCCCCTAGTTCTGGCTGGTGTAAATAACTTCTGTTTCCCAGCCTGACATAAATAGATTAGCGTAACTAGGGGTGAACCTGGTCCCCATAGCACTACCTTGTAATTGTAGATAAAATCTGGAGATAAAATTTAAATAATTATTTTCTAAGATCCATCTAATGCTGTCGATTAAAAACAAAATATGTTTGTTACTAAAATTGCCCGATTTTTCCAAAATTTCTTGAATTATTTTACATCCCTTATCATGAGAGATGGAAGTGTAGAGTGCCGTTACATTTGAGGTTACCAAAAAGTAACTATCCTCCCATTTTGTGTTTTTTATAATCTGTATTACATCTGTAGTGTCCTTAAGATATGATGGCATGTCTTTAAGTCTTGTAGCCAAATATCCACGTATTTGGAAAGATTGGCTGAAATGGATCCAATACCGGACACAACCGGCCTGCCCGGAGGGTTCTCTAGATTTTTATGTATTTTGGGCAAGGTATAAAATACAGGCACTCTGGGAAATTCAACTAGTAAAAACTTATATTCATTTTCATTTAAAATACCTTCTTCTTTACCTTTTTTAAAAAGGGTTTCTAATTAAGTTTTAATCTCTATAATTGGATCTTTTTCTAATGTCCTATATATCTTTTTGTCTATAACATTCTTTTAGATAACTAGTAGTATCTTGAATCACAATACTGCCCCCCTTGTCAGCAGGCTAATAAAGGCTGTTTACATTGAGAGCTGGCGTCCTGCCTACTTGTACCATCATTGAAGTCCTGGTTTGAGGACTATAAGCTGGATCAGTTAGAGCAGGCTTTTACTGCTCTCCCTTTGTGAGTGATATTCCTATTTTATACTGTTGGTTCTTATACTTATTTTTAAACTGTATTATGCTATGTTTCTCCATTTTATATCTCCCTTTACATATGTTCTCATTTGATTTGGAGCACCAAAGGAGATAGCGACATGTTTATCAGCGTATAGATTCTCAGTATTATTATACAGAGCGACATGTTTATTATCAGTGTTTATTATCAGATACTGATAGATACTGTATAAATACTGATCTGGGCAATGTAGTATACTATTCGAATTGAATGTAAGCGTTTGGCATATCATAATTGCTACTTTAAATAATGAATTAAGAAGCATTAGCTAAGATCCTAATGGAGCACTGAAATATACTAATGGCGCTGTTTATATGATGTTAATGACGATTATTAGTTAAATTGGATATGGATTGTATATATTTTCTTAGGTTATAGTATCATGTTAATGAAGGCCTTTAAAAAGAGTTAATCTATTACTGTCTTAAAGGAATTAGGCATAGGGATAGGGGTTGGATGATTAGCCAGTAATAAAAATTAAGGCAGGTGAATTTCTAAAGGACTAAGAGCTAACAGATTTATCTACCAATTGGTAAGTTAGGAAGCTAGGGTAAGGGCTACATTTGAAAAGCAAAAGGAAGAAGAAAAAAAAAAAAAAAATATATATATATATATATATATATATATATATACACACAGTTATGTATTAAAGCTCTTGGTTTAATCCGGTATGCGGTCACT